ACGTGGATGGGGACATTGGGGACCACGAGGACTTGGGGACACATAGAAGGGGACACTGGGGACCGCGAGGACTTGCGGAGGGGACATTGGAGACCATGAGGACTTGGGGACACATGGAAGGGGACACTGGGGACTGCGAGGACTTGGGGACACATGGAGGGGATGTTGGGGACCACGAGGACTTGGGGCCACGTGGATGGGGACACTGGGGACCACGAGGACTTGGGGACACATGGAAGGGGACACTGGGGACCACGAGGACTTGGGGACATCTCCACGAGCACACGGAGACGTGTGGTCAGAGCGAAGCATCCTCGCTGCTCACTCAGGGGTCCGCCTGCCCCCCCCGTAACCCTCATCCCATCGACCCCCCCGCAGGCAGCCTTCACCTGCATCAAGCAGCTGTGGAACCGGCGGCCTCTGAAGGTGTACGGCGGCCGCATGGCCGAGTCCATGCTGGCCATCCTGTGCCACATCCTGCGCGGGGAGCCCCTCATCCGCGAGCGCCTGGGCCGGGAGCGCGAGGGGCCGCGGGGGGAGGAGGAGGCGGGGGGCGAGGAGGGGGGACCCCGGCGTGAGCCCCAGGTCAACCAGCAGCAGCTGCAGCAGGTGGGAGCCCGGCCAGGGGAGCGGGACCCCCGACCCCTTCCTTGGACCCCCAGCCTTCTTCTGGTCCCCCGACCCCTTCTTTGGACCCCCGACCCCTGCATTGGACCCCCAGCCTTCTTCTGGTCCTCCCAACCCCTTCTTTGGACCCCCGACCCCTTCTTTGGACCCCTGTCCTCTTCCTTGGACCCCCAGTCTTCTTATGGTCCTCCCAACCCCTTCCTTGGACCCCCAGCCTTCTTCTGGTCCCCCGACCCCTTCTTTGGACCCCCGTCCTCTTCCTTGGACCCCCAGTCTTCTTATGGTCCTCCCAACCCTTTCCTTGGACCCCCAGCCCCTTCCTTAAACCCCCAGTCTTATGGTACCCCCAGCCCCTTCTTTGGACCCCCAGCTCCTTTCTTAGACCCCCAGTCTTACGGTCCCCCCAACCCCTTCCTTGGACCCCCAGTCTTCTGGTCCTCCCAAGCCCTTCCTTGGACCCCCGACCCCTTCCTTGGGCCCCCAGCCCCTTCCTTGGAACCCCAGTCTTCCTCTGGGCCTCTTAAGCCATTCTTTTGGATCCCCGTCCCCTTCCTTGGACCCCCAGCCTTCTTATGGTCCTCTCAAGCCCTTCTTTGGACCCCCAACCCCTTCCTCGGCTCCCCAGCTTTTTTCTGGTCCCCTTTATTCCCTTCTCGTCCCCCAAACCCTTTCCTTGACCCTCAACCTTATTTTGGTGCCCCCAAGCTCTTCCTTGCACCCCCAACTTTATTTTGGTGCCCCAATCCCTTCCTTGAACCCTCAACCTTCTTCCTTTTCCCTCTCGTTCCCCCAACCCTTTCTTTGACCCTCAACCTTATTTTGGTGCCCCCAATCCTTTCTTTGGACCCCCAACCTTCCTCTGGTTCACTCTATTCCTTTCTCATCCCCCCAGCCCCTTTTCCTTGCCCCTCCAATCTTCTTCTGGTCCCCCTCAAGTTCCCCCTCATCCCCCTCCCCAAATTCCTTTCTGGTCTCCCCCCTAATCCCTTTCTGGTCCTCTTAATCCCTCCCTTGTTCCCTCTCATCCCATTTTGGTCCCCCCCAGCCCCCTTTTTGACCCCCCCCAGCCCCCTATTTGCCCCCCTAACGCCCTGTGTGTCCCCCCCCACAGCTGATGGACATGGGCTTCTCACGGGAGCACGCCATGGAGGCTCTGCTCAACACCAACACCATGGAGCAGGCCACCGAATACCTGCTCACCCACCCCCCGCCCCTCATGGGGGGAGTGGTGCGGGTAAGGAGGGGCACAGCCGCTTGGAGGGGGACCCAAACATCCCCCATAGACCCTCACCACCTTCTCCTGCCCCCCCCTCCCACCCCCAGGACCTCAGCATGTCGGAGGAGGACCAGATGATGCGTGCCATCGCCATGTCTCTGGGCCAGGACATCCCCATGGACCAGCGGGCCGAGTCCCCCGAGGTGCTGTGGGGCAGGCTGGGGTCGCGTTGGGGGTCCCACAGCCCCATTTAATCCCCCCACGTTCCCATCTCACATCTCAGCACCTCCTATCTCTCTCCACTCTCCCTATTTCCCCATTTCACCTCCCTGTGTCCCTCACCTTGCTTCTATTATGTGTCCCTACATCCCTACCTGACCCCATATGTCCTTGGGTCGTCATGTCCCCACGTTTTGTCACTTTGTCCCTATTTAATGACCCTGTGTCCTCATTGCATGCCCCCTCCCCCGTCATGCTCCTTGTAGCCCCGTTGCATGTCCTTACATCCCCATCTGACCCCATAAATCCGCTCCTTGTGTCCTCGCATCCCCACCTTGCATCCCTGTGACCCCGTTTACGTCCCAGTGTCCTGCCTCACCCCACGCATCCCTAATCCTGCTCCCCCGTGACCCCGCTGTGGTTTTCACAGCCCCGTTTCGTGTCCCCACGTCCCCATCTCACATTCCAGTGGCCCCATTTCACATCCCTGCATCCCCATCTCTCCCGTCTCCCCTTCTCACATCCCCACAGCCCTCCCTTGCGTCCCTCCATCCCCATTTCACATCCCTCTGTCCCCATTTATCTCTTCCCACGTGTCTCCATCAAAACATCCCCGTCGATCCTCACTTCCGCATCCCCCCCATGTCACGATATGACATCCCCCACCTCTCGATCCCCCTCGTTCCATGTCCCCCCATCACGATATCTCATCCCCCGCCACAGGAGGCCGCCTGCCGCAAGGAGGAAGAGGAGCGCCGTGCCCGCGAGCGCCAGGAGGAAGAAGAAGCCAAATGCTTGGAGAAATTCGAGGGGGCCGAACCCCTGGAGCCCTCAGAGCTGCTGGCCTTCACCGACACCATGCTGCCCGGCTGCTCACAGCTGCTGGACGAGCTCCCCGACACCGTCTACCGCGTCTGCGACCTCATCATGACGGCCGTCAAACGCAACGGGGCCGCCTATCGCGACTCCATCCTCAAGCAGGTGGTCAAGCAGGTAAAAGGATCCTCCCCCCAGAACCCCCTCGTGAGTTTTTTGTTGTTTTCGTCCCCATATTCGGGGTTCTCCCGCTGCCCCACGCTTTAATTTTGAAGGTTTGGGAAGCGGCCGACGTTCTCATCAAGGCAGCGCTGCCGCTCACCACCAGCGACACCAAAACGGTGTCGGAGTGGATCAGCCAGATGGCCACGTTGCCCCAGGCCTCCAACCTGGCCACCCGCATCCTCCTCCTCACCCTGCTCTTTGAGGTGAGATGTTGTTCTAGGGGAAAAAAAGCACGTTTTGGTGGGGAAAAAGCACGTTTTGGGGCTCGCCAGGATGTTCTGGGGTGTTAGGGTCAACGTAGAGCATTGACACAATGGCATTGATGCCTCGAGGGTTGACACGTTGAGAATTGACACAGTGATGCTGCCACATTGAGTGTGGGGATGATTATTTTGATGCTGAATGTGGACACGTTGAGCACTGACGCTGTAATGTTGAGCGTTGACACATCGAGCGTTGAAACGATGACGTGGATCACAGAACAGCCTGGGTTGAAAAAGACCACAGTCATCATGCAGTTTCAACCCCTCTGCTGTGTGCAGGGAATGATGTTGAGCATGGACACGTTGAGTGTTGGCACAGTGACGTTGTTGAGCGTTGGCAGGTTGATGTTGACAAGTTGAGCATTGACGTGTTGATGTTGACGTGTTCATCGTTGACATGTTGAGCGTTGACATGGTGACATTGACATGTTGACATTGACAGGTTGAGCGTTGACGTGTTCATCGTTGACATGTTGAGCGTTGACAAGTTCAGCATTGACAAGTTCAGCATTGACATGATGACATTGACATGTTGAGCGTTGACATGATGACTTTGACATGATGTTGACCTGGTGACATCGACATGTTGAGTGTTGACGCTGAACATTGAGCATTGAATTGACTCAGTACTGAGTGTTGACACGATGTTGAGCATTGACACGTTGAGTGTTGACATGGCAACTTTGATTTTGAGCATTGACACGTTGAGTGTTGACATGGTGACACATTGAGTGTTGAGATGATGACACCGGTGTTGAGTGTTGACATGTTGACACATTGACATGTTGATGCATTGACATGTTGAGCATTGACGTGATGACGTTGACATGTGGAGCACTGACGTGTTGAGCATTGACATGGTGACATTGACATGTTGACACGTTGATGCTGAGCATTGACATGGTGACATTGACGTGTTGAGCATTTACTTGTTGGCATTGACATGTTTGCTACTGACACGTTGACACGTTGAGCATTGATGTGATGACATTGACATGTTGACACATTGATGCTGAGCGTTGATGTGACAGCACTGACATGTTGAGCATTGACATGTTGGCATATTGACACGTTTGCTACTGACACATTGACATGTTGAGCATTGAATGAGGACGTTGACGTGTTGAGCATTGACATGTTGACACATTGACACGTTTGCTACTGATACACTGACATGTTGAGCATTGACATGATGACACTGACGTGTTGACACATTGATGCTGAGCACTGACATGACAGCACTGACATGTTGAGCATTGACATGTTGACACGTTGACACGTTTGCTACTGATACACTGACACGTTGAGCATTGATGTGATGACACTGACGTGTTGACACATTGATGCTGAGCGTTGACATGACAGCACTGACATGTTGAGCATTGACATGTTGGCA